CCTCGAGGTACTGCTCGCGTGGAGCAGCATCATCGGCGAGAAGTTGGGCACAATGTCGTCATAGTTGAACGACGTTTCGGCGCCAAAGGGCGGGATGACGCCAAAGGTTGGGACGGGACGGAAGTCCTCGGCGCCCTCAAAGACGTAGTCGAGGTTGTCGCGCTTGGCGCCAATGCCAAGGTTGTAGAGAGCGATGTCGCGCTCCGTGTAGGTAAAGTCGGAAGGGATCGTGTCGGCCTTGAGCGCGTTGGCAATGGCCTCGCGGTACTGCGCGCCCTCGTCGGAGGGGGACGGGGCCTGAGGTTCACTGGAGGAGGACTATTGACGGAGGACATGGGCGTTAACGATTTTTGGGTTCATTTGGCTACGTGGCTATGGTACAATATGTGTGCGCAGATAAAGGAAGAAAGGACATGGCATCACCGTCAGATGACAGAGAAGCTTCTCATACCTTCTTGCTCTTGTTCGCCATGTTGTCCATGACCTTCTGGACGGCATCCTGCGCCTTGGACGGGTGGTCCGCACGGCCGTCGTCAAAGTTCCTGATGGCGTCCCACTTCTGCAGGACAGCCTCGGGCGTCAGGGGCACGTCGACGGGGAACCCGTGGCCGCCGGATCGCTGCCACCTCGTCTGACCGACCCAGCCGCTGCCGACCTCGTACAGGCCGCCGGTCGGGTTCTTGGGCACCTTGTCGCTGCAGAGCGCGAGCACGACGGGCGCGATGTAGTCGGGCTTGAAAGCCTGCACCATCTCCTCGGGCATGATCGTCCTCGTCATGGCTGTGCCGGCGTTGGGCGCAATCGTGTTGACGTAGATGTTGTACTTGGCACCCTCGAGGGCCAGGGCGCGGGAGAAGCCGAGAATACCGCATTTCTGTGCATACGTCAGTCTTTGTGGGAAAAGGAAGAAGGGTCAGGCAGATAACGTACCGCCGCGGCGTAGTTGGCCTGTCCAAAGTTGCCGTAGATGCCACTTGTCGAGGTCGTGTTGATGACACGGCCATACTTCTGCTTGAGGAAGTAGGGCCAAGCGGCCTTGGTGACCTTGTAGGTACCGCGAAGGTGGACGTTCAGGACGGGGTCCCACAGGCTGTCGTCCATGTTGTTGAAAGCCTTGTCGCGCAGGATGCCGGCATTGTTGATAATGATGTCGATACGGCCAAAGGCGTCGATGGCCGCCTTGACGACCACATCACCGTCCTCGGCAGAGGCCTTGACGCCGACAGCCTTGCCACCGGCCGCCTTGATCTCGTTGACGACGTCATCGGGGTTGGCGAGGTCGTTGATGACAAGCGAGGCACCGTACTTGGCGAAAGCCAGAGCGTAGGCGCGGCCGATACTGAGAAGCATTAGCAGCTGAAGATGGAAGACCTCGAGCGAATAGGAAGACTCACCCGGCACCACCACCAGTGACAAGAGCGACACGGCCCGTGAAGTCGGGGTTCTCGCCCTGGGCGCTAGGGCCCTTCTTCATGGAGTCCTCGAGCAGGGTCAAGAAGTCGGCCGGGCCCGAGGGGTACTGGGGGTTGGAGAAGTCGCCAACCTGGTCGAA